AGCCTCACTGAAGGTAAAGAGAGAGAGAGAAAAAAAAAAAAAGTAGTTTGTGCAAAAAGGAACGTAAATATATAACTAGGTTGTTGCCTTTAAAAACAAGGGACAAAAATGTTTTTTTATATGCAGAGTTCCTTTAATAAAAGAATCTCAATTTTTTATGCAAGGAATACAGTTGGTGACACTATCTTTTTTTTTTTTCTCTCTCTCTCTCTCTTTACCTTCAGTGAGGCTTACTCTTTTTATTTATTTATTTTTTTAATTTTTATTTATTTTATTTTATTTTTTTTTAAAAAAAGATGACCGGTAAGGGGATCTTAACCCTTGACTTGGTGTTGTCAGCACCATGCTCACCCAGTGAGCCAACCGGCCATCCCTATATGGGATCTGAACCCGTGGCCTTGGTGTTATCAGCACCACACTCTCCCTAGTGAGCCACAGGCCGGCCCCCACAGGACAGAATTTTAAAAAGCTTATTGGATATGTTAATATACTAAGTATCTTTTTGACTCTTGGTTGCTACATATTATTATTCATTCTAAAAGATATTTTGGGAAGGCTTAGACTAGACTGACCATTTAGATTTATTCGGGAGTCTACAAATTACTTTATTCTAGTCTTTTTCTATAAACCAAACTAGTATCTTCTCTGGATACTAGTATCTACATTGGATACTACACTGTATACATTGGCTGCATCGATTCCATCACACTGTGACTTAAGCACGTGCAGTCTTAACTAGAATGGCAAACTTGAGTCTCAACAAACATCCACTTACGAGTCAACCATATCATGACAGATTTTCCCTGAGCATCGATGTCACAGACTCTCATAAAGCACACTCCCTAGCTTTGAATCCTGGCTCTACTATCTTCCTAACTTCATCATTTTATGCCTCAATTTCCTTAACAGTAAAATAAGGCAATGTTGGCACCTAGGCTTCGTAGGGTGGTTGCAAAAAAGTGAGTGAGCACACAGCATAAAGCCTGGCACGTAGCAGGCACTCGGTAAGTGTCAGCTACTGTTCTCTCACTCTTTAAAGAGAAATACCGCATGAGGCCTTCTCCAGGCAACAGAGATTTTATCAACATCTTATAATTTCACTAATATATCTAGTGAAACCACTGTAACTTACGACATTTCCCATTCGAACTCAGGCCTAGCTCCCCGAGAAGTATCTGCATCACACTCACATTGTTTCAGTAATTATTAAGCAAATATTTTTGACTCTACAGGCACTTACAATTCCTCATCTCATATGTCTCTAGTTTTAGAACTAGAATCTAAGTTTCCTTTTTTGGTCAGATCAAGGTAAAAAATTAATAACTTGGATGCTTTAAAGAGAAAGTTTGGGAAACTCCTTCCCAAATGTACTACAGACAAAAAATCTCTGGGCTGGCTGGGTTTCCTTCTTTTTCCTTTTCTTCATCCTGCTTTCTTCTTTCTTTCTTCCTCTTTCTGTCTTCTTTCTAGCTGTAATGAACCATAAGTTCTTTTTTCTTTTTTTTTTTTCCTTACGTTATGGGAAAACACAATGGATTCATTCACAAACAAAATAAATTATGCAGAACAAAACATGCAACCAAAGCACGCAAGAGAGACGGGATTCCAGAGCAGAACTTACCCCACGCTTTAGGCTCCTGAAGCAGTGGATTTTGGGTTTGGAGGTCATGAACTCGTTGAAGCGATGGGAGAGGGGTTCCTTTTGCTGCTTGGGAGACTGGGGGCCGTTGGGAACAGCAGAGGGTGAGGCAGAGGCAGGGGGAGGAGGGGGAGGCTGATGGGGGGATGTTAAAAGGGACACAAGCTACGTGTAAGAGATGGAGCAGTGACAGAGTAAAAACCAGAAACGAGAAGATAAGACACAAAACAAAAATAAGCATCAAATAATATTTGAAATACAAAGCAAGTAAAACACAAACAATTAAATATTTAGGCCATGGTCCAAAAGAAAACATGGAGAATATGTTAAATGAAGAATAGGATGAAAGTGGGAGGTTTAGTAAGTAATGCGACAGGAGAGCAAGAAATACTTGACAAGAAGCTCATGCAGACTTTCCCATGCAAAGGACAGCTCTAATCAGTTATTCTAAACCAGTTCAAGTCAGAAGGGTAAATATTTCTAAGCCACCTAAACTGACATAGCTTGATGGGAGAAAATGAAAGACCTTAAATGCTAAGCAAGACAATCTTTTTAAATTAAACATCAAATCATTCTAAGGTTAAGGCAGTAATGCTGCCTTGATCACATTTTATTGTCCCAGGTTAATGCGGCCATGCACCTAAGTATCACACTATAAAAAGGAAATGAAAAATGTTTATGGATATACATGTTAATATGAATTCAAAACCAAGTCATTAACCCATGGCAATTAGATGGGCCAATAAATTGTTACGGAAATTCTGCGCTATGACCTCACTATCCACCGAGGTAGCTAGCAGTCTAGATTTAGGAGTGAAAGACATGTCGCAAAACGGCTCAGAGGTCAGTAATCTGTTAGTGTGGGTGACAGGGTACAAGTGACAATGCATCTGAAATAAGACAAAGGGCCATGGCAAAGGAACCACCACCAAAAAGAAATACTGTTTTAAAAGAAAGGAGCACACTAACTTCTTCTTGCATTCTGAAACTACAGGTTTAAGATCTTTAAGACTAAAAGATAAAGTAAAAATCTCCGCGGTTTATAAAATTCATTTCACACTGGCTCCAGCCATCAGTACCTTATTTTTTTTGATGAACGGCCATAACTTTCCTTTGGATTTGCCACCAAATTTGAGCTCTGGTTTGCCTTCTCCTTTAGAATTTGAAAGGCTGTTATCTGACACAGTGCGCTTCATTGGTTGAGTGTAATCCTCGAATTCAATGTCTCCAGGAGGCTCAAACCCAGATTTATAAGCTTCTATTACCAGCTGTGAATCCTGAAATTATACCCATGGACACATAAATACATTCAAATTCACGAAAATGTTTTTTACACAATGAATTATGGTGGACCACATGCAGATCACATTTTAAGGAAATTATATTGATTGATATTAGATTTTTTCTAGTAACATTTTTATCACTAGAAAAAATAAGTATACAGTTGACCCTTGAACAACTCATGGGTTAGAGGTGCTGATGCCCTCTCCCCCTGCCACAGAGTCAAAAATTTATGTAAAACTTTTTACTCCCCCAAAACTTAACTACTAATAGCCTACTGTTGACTGGAAGCCTTACCTGTAACATAAATGTTGTTAATACATATTTTGTATGTTATGTGTATTATACACTATATTCTTACAACAAAATAAGCTAAAGAAAAAAGGTAATTAAGAAAATCATAAGGAAGAGGAAATACATTTACAATACTGTACGTATATTTATTAGGGAAAAATATGCGTGTTTATAAGTGGACCCACGCAGTTCAAACCTACACTGTTCGAGGGTCAACTGTAATTTGTAAAGCTATATCTCTAGTTGAGATTTGAAGATGCTTTCTTTTTGTTTTTCTCTTCTTTTCCCAGATTTACCAACTGAACAAGATACTTTCAATATCCATTTTTCTGCATTTGGAGAAACAAATATTAGTTAAGAACTAGTTTGTTAGAAAGCAGAAAAATCAATGGGCAATGATGATGCAATTCCTTTGAAAAACAGTAAATACAAAAGTCTGTTTCCCATCACAAGTTCTTGTGACCGGTAAGGGGATCGCAACCCTTGGTGTGGTGTTGCCTGCACCATGCTCAGCCAGTGAGCGCAGCACCGGCCATCCTTATATAGGATCCGAACCCGCGGCCTGGGCGCTACCAGCGCCACACTCTCCCGAGTGAGCCACGGGGTCGGTCCTCCCATCAGAAGTTCTTAAAGTAACTCAGCGTATACAAAGTGAAAGCACAGAGGAGGTGAGCTCTCTAATTTCTTGGATCACAGTGGTTCAACGATATTAATTTGCTGCTTAATTTTCCTTTATGTATATATTTGTTCATAGTCTCCCGCTAGAATGTAAAGTGTCTTCTGTTTTTTCTCTACTGTATTGCTAGTACCTAGATGCTGCTAGGTACTCATAATGGTGTACAATAATGCTTCCTGAATAAATCAATAAACTGAATGCACCCTTTATGGTTTGTACTCTGCTAGGAACTTTGGATTCAACAACTTCTTAGGGAGCCAGAGTCAGGTGGTAGAGACAAATGCATAATAAAATTACAACCAGAGTGTTGTGGATAGACAGATCAATCGATCAACAGATAATTACAAAAACACATGTGACTGTGATAACAATCTAACTCAATGATCATCTGATATTTTAAGTACTACTGGAAAAGACAACTTGGAAAAACTTCAGGTTCTTAATATGAAATCACATTTTAATTAGCCATAGCTATTTTAGCTAATTTGTAGGTATGCCACAGACTGCTGATTGTCTTCCAATAGCCAATCACCCTTCCTTCTCAGTAATAAGAATGGATTTGAAGTTGGGTACATTGCCACTCAGCTGAAAGGCTTTACTGCCTGGCCTTTGTACAGTAAGAGGTGGCCACATGACCAAGTTTTTCCCTCTGAGATGCAGTCAGAAGTAAAGTGTGCAATTTTAGGAAGTCTCTTTAAAGCAATGGCATGGGCCCTTCCCCATATTCGGCTCTCTGGAATCCGAATGTGATGGTCGGAGCTCCAGGAGCCATCCTGGACCACGAGTTTAAGGTCACATCATCAAAAGCAGTGAACTGAAGGAGTCTGGGTCTATGAGGACTTATGGACTACTCATCCTGCCACTGAGGGACCCTCTACCTCTAGACGTCTTTTACAGGAGAGGAAAAATTCACCACCTTGTTTAAGACACTATTGTCCTTGCTATATGAAGCTAAACCTATATTAGCAGACTCAGTTCCAGAATCATTTTTAGTGTGCCACTGAGTACATTGATTTATTCTAGTAAAAATATGATAATTTAGTCTAAATGGAAACTAACCTTACATAAATAAACCAGTTTGCACTTTTACGTCATCATGTGATATAGAAACTGCACTTTAAGGGGGATAGCGACGTCCAGTGTGTTGGAGGGTGAGTAACAGAGCCAGGAGCTTCCTATCCCCCCATCCCACTTAAGTAATTGTTAAACCACCTCCTTCAAGTCTTCACTCAAATGTGACTTCCTGATATAACACCCCATCCCCAATCCCACCCAGGCAGGCCCTTCTTATTATCACCCTGTCCTTTATCTCTTCCAAAATCTCACCGTGTTTTCAACTCTAAATAATGTTCTCATTTCTTTTATTACTGTCTGTCTCCCCTTTAGAACAGAGCCTGGCACTTGTGAATGAGTAAGTGGATTCAAATTGTGCCAGAAACTGTGCTTGTTTAGAAATAAAAAGAACAGGGTGGTGGGGTTTAGAGGAAGGAACACAGACTTTGGAGCCACATGGACGGATTCTCTGTGTAACCCTGGGCAAGACTGTAACCACTCTGAGTTTAGGGTGAAGACAACAGGCCTGGAATGAAGCAGGTGTTCAGTATATACTCAGTGAACCACTTTATAAAAGTACTGTCAACTTTTCTCAAAATGAAGTTTTAAAAAAGGATATAAATAACAGCAATTAAACACAAATATGCAGCGATAAAGAGGGTACAATGAAATGAAAGCTACAATAAAAACACCTAAGATCAAAGCAGCAAGACCATAGTGAATGCTGCCAAGAATGGAATCTGCAAAAGATGATAATCTTGAAAAACACATGTAAAACACATCAGGAATGTTTGGAAAGATGAAGCAAATGTACAAGGAAAAATGTCGATTAGGATTAAGAAAGATCTGACCTTTTAATTCTCAAAGAAGATACAGCAAAACGAAACATTTGTTCATTAAAATAAAGATCTAAAGGGAGTGAGCCAGGCAGTTTCTGTGGGAAGAATATTCCAGGCAGAGGAGAGAGCAAGGTAGGCGTGTGCCTGGAGCTCTCAAGGAACACCAAGGAGGCCATTGTGGCTAGAACACTGCGGAGAACAGAGGACAGGGGACGTCAGAAAGATAAACGGGAGGACAGAGGGGAGGGCGCTCCAGATGGTTTAGGGCTTTGCAGTTCCAGATGAGGGGGACACCCCTGGAGGGTCCTGAGCAGGGGAGGGACATGATCTGATCTTTAAAAGGATCTCTCTGGCCCTCCCTTCTGTCTCTGTGTTAACAATGTAGGGTGTGGGGGTGGGGTAAGCGCCAAGGGGAGGAGACCAGTTAGATGCCTTTTGCAGTGGTCCAGACTGCTCCTGCCTCGTCCAGGATGAGGGGGGCCTTGGGATCAGGAGTGGAACAGTGGAGGTGACGAGAGCTGGTTGGCCTCTGAATGTATTTTGAAGGTGTAAATTGATATGGGTGTGAGAAAAAGGGAGATATCACGGAAGACTCCAAGAGTTGAGCAACTGGAAGGATGGAAAGGCCATTAGCGGAGACACTGAAGACTATGGGAAGCAGGTTGGTGAGGAAGAGCAGGAGCTGCGTCTTGGATGTGTTAAGTCCGAGGAGCAGCCACTTGGCATCTGAATACATGCACCTGCAGTGTGGGGCAGAGGTCCCAGCTGGAAACGTGACATGTGTAAGTCAGTACTGAGATGGGACCAGAGTCCACCAACCACTTAAAGACGTGAATGTGACGAGTAAAGAGGTCCAAGATCTAAGTCCTGGAGTACCCCAAAGTTAAACGGTAGGAAGAAGAAAAAGAATAAGAAAAGGAGGCAGACCGCTGGGAAGGGAAAAAGCCACCACCGTGCGAGTTCCTGGATCCCACGTGGCAGAGACGCAGGTAGGAGGGAGGTCAGGTGGGAATCAGTACCGCTAACAGTTCAAGTCAGATGAAGAAGACTTAGAACAGACCCTTGGATTTAACAACATGAAGATCATGGGTGAAAAAGAATTATCAGTGATATAGTGAAAAACTAGGCTCCCATAATGGGAGGAAAAAAATCCTATAAATCTAGTTGGCTCACAATTTCCCAACTGAAACTGATAAAGGGAAACCATCATTTAGATATATACTTGTGAAACTATAAAGTTTTCAAGGAAAAAGAAATTTCCAAGACTCTAATATAAAAAACTAAAATCAAGCTTTCAGATTTTAATCAATGTTAGAAGTCCATGAAGCCAAAAGAAAGGCCAACATTCATGTAGAGGTGACCTTGCTTTTGAAAGCATAACTTATAAACCCCACTATAAGTCTCTCTCTTTAAAAGATTCCCCTCATGTAATTTATTGGTAACTATTGAAATTTTAAAAAGGGTGACCAGAGAAAGGCTCATTGAGACTATTTCTTCTGTGATGCTTGAAACAGATAAAGAAAACCATCAGATAAAAATTTCACCTCAAGAAAAAGATGTTTTAATCACTTCTGGAAGAAAATTTATTGGTATGATGTAGTTTGGGGAGTGAGAAGGAAGTGCTAGTAATTCAGGAGCATCAGTCATTTTTCCCTAAAAAGTTAGGTGAAATCACCGATACCCATTAGCTGTATAGGTATCAACGAAACAGGGAGGAGGAATCCTAAAATCAAAACAAAACAAAACACACCTGCTACCTGGAATCTATCCCTCCTTCAAATATTCACCATTTAACATGGAAGCATGTGTGCACATTGGACCGACAAAAACTTTTTACACAGACAGCCTTAAATGTTTGTACATATCAAATGTTCTTAGAGCAATGAAGAATTTGCATGCTGTCAACCAGGAGATCTATTCGCAAGGAAAAGACTGCTTCAGTCCCTTCCTTGGACTCATATTTTAAGAAGCCCTTATGACAGAATATTTATGGCATAACTTTTATGTTAAATATTTGTTTTTGCAAGTTAATAACAATTTGTAAAAGCCTATGCTGGTGTCCTAATTGATATTTTTTTGAGGGCAATAGGTTTCTAGGAAAGGAACTCAAACAGATAATACAGGTGGTATTCTCAAATGGAGATTTTGCCCACCAGGGGACATTTGGCAATGTCTGGAGACATTTTTGATTGTAACAACTAGGGGACTGCTTAACTGGCATCTACTGTGTAGAGGTCAGGGATATTGCTAAACATCCTACAATGCACCAGACAATCCCCCACAATAAAGAATTATCTGGCCTAAAATGTCAATAGTGCTCTGAAGAAACTGTCTCAGAGGAAACACTTCCCAAATGAAGGTAACACCACCAATATCAAAAGGCTTTGCCTTTTTCCAGAAATCAATCAGATCCAAAGTTGGGAGGGTTACTCAGGCAACTCACAAGAACACACTTCAATTTAATTCTGTAATATCTCAGACAATTTACCTCTGAAGTGTGTTTTTTGCCAAAGGAATTAGCTAAATCCAAAACAGAGGGCTTAACAAAAGAACTCTCAAGTGGTGCTGCTGTTGAAAAGTACTGCGACCACTGAAACCCCTACTATGAGATGACTAACTGAGGTCACTGGGGAAGGGGCAGGTGGAGAAGTCATGGAACCACAAACACTCAGTTGTAAACTAAGCACAAACTACAGCACTTACGTTGTTCTGATCGATTGATTCAGCGGCCTTTACTATTCCATCCAAGCACTTCCCAATGATTGGGATCACCTGCCGATCGACCTCTGCATATGTCTTCATTGACTCTCCCATTCTCACGATCCTCCTTTCCTCCATCTCTTGTATTTTCTGCAACATCAGATTTTTTGTAAAATAAATTTGGCCTGCTATTATTTAAGGAAGTTGTTTTTCAGCAGCATTGTTACCTCTAATAAATTTTCTGGGAGGGAAAAGGCATTAGACTTTGAGCCACCGCACATTTATTGTGCCTCTATATTACCCAGCTGTATGCAGAGTTTATAAATTGTTTGGCTCCCAAATGTATGCTTTACACAATTCCATTTCAACATCAATGAGAACCCCAAACTCAGAATTTTTTTTTTCCTTTTTGTCTTTTTTACTGACCGGCAACGGGATCGCAACCCTCAGTGTTGCGCCCGCACCGCGCTCAGCCAGTGAGCGGGAACCAGTCTCCACATGGGATCCGAACCCTCGGCGGGAGCGCCGCCGCACTCCCAAGCGGCGCACTCTCCAGTGCGCCACCGGGCCAGCCCCCAAACTCAGAATTTTATTGTTAATACTATTTGGTAATACACTTCAAACATTTTCTCCATCTTTGATCCACTACTTTGCCTTTTACAAAAAGCATAGTATTTGGTTATTTGTCTCAACTTAACACGGTTGAGATATAACTAGTGCACCTTCCTTCTACAATTTGAAAGTTCTTGTTTACCATGTGTGCAGATGCCAAGAAGCAAATATTTATTTTTTTCTACAAATGGACTTGAAATTGTAAAAGATTCCCCAAATGGGGAACATGCATATATCTTTTCTCATACCATTTTTGACAACCTAAAGTAGCCAAAAGAAAATAACCCAAAGGAAAGAACTGTCATTTGTTCAAACCTACAACTGTGTGAATGTTTCATTGACTCCTAAAATTAAGTTAGCATTTTTGTAACCAGGACAGTTGTTTAAGCAAAGAGAGCATTAACCTAAGAATCACAGATCAAGACTGGCAAAAAAAAATAGTTGCAGGTGCAAACTGAGGAAGTTTACGAAGGCCGTTGATAAATCTTGAGATTAATATTATATTTCATTTTATGGCTAGTCAGTGCTGGGTCTAGACTACTTTAAAAATTATTTAATGGAAATTTGGAATTATATAAACACCTAGAATACAAACCCAGCCGTCATGACTCAGCAGCAATGTGTCTGGAAGCAAAGCAGAACATGGAACCTGAGCAATCTGAGTGACTTACCTGAAAGATGTTAGGTATGTGAGTGTGGTAATACTCATGCTGCTCGTGGTTGAATTTCTGGAGAATCGATGAGTAGTCTGCTTTGCTGTCCTCTGCCATTTGGTGACGTATTTGAGCTTGTTGTCTTGCCTTAGGACAAAAAATGAGAGTACCCCCCGTTTATACGTCATAAACAAAAGCCTAGGCATAATGGAGAAAAGCCTAGAACTGCACCCTGGGGAGACTAGGAGCCAAAATTACCTCAAAAGTATTGTATGTAGCAGGTGCTATTTTGGAGGGGGGAGTGGGTGCCGCTGTCCTGTACGGGGATCCAAACCCTGGACACTGGTGTTACAACCCGGCACTCTATAACCAACTGAGCTAACTGGCCAGCCCTAGATGCTATTTTTTAAAAATCGTTTTGAATTTGAATTTACTTTAGGTAAGGGTTGTGTAGCTTGTCACGGATCCTACCACTCTCTGTTGTCGTCACTTGGCATGCACTTTCTAGTTTGACACAAGGGCCACCATCCTCTATTGTCTGCACCTTGGACAATTCACGTATCTATGTTACCTGGATGGCCCTTGTGGGAACCTCAGCTCATCCATATATGTTCTTCTTGAGAAGGGGAGGAGTGAACCAAACTTTTTTTATCTGATTCTCAACAGGGTTCACAAACTAAAAAGGCATATGAAACACTGATCTAAGTGGAACTTTCTAAAACTCTTTACTATGTTTACCTTTAGTCTATACTTTAAAGAAGCAGTAAGTATGGCACCCTCTTTATGCTTTTTATGTTTTTTTGGGTGCAATTTTGTATATTACTGCATTACTTTTCACCTAAAAAAATCAATAAAACATAAATTTGTTTCTTTCTTCTAATTTATATTTTGGTTAATCACATACCTAAAAACAGTGGGGGGGGGGAATTATGGACAAGATGCTGAATTGATTTTAAAGCTCAAACAAGAATGTCGGTAAACTCTAAAGTCATCCACAAACATAAGAGATTGTACACCGTTAACACCACCTTAGATTCATGTGTCTTGATGAATGTTATCTCGTGAATCTCTTCTACAATCTGAGGTCCCCAGAGGGCCACCTACGCCCTGCCAGATGAAGATATGGCTCGATCCTCAGATGACTCGGCAACCTCTACCACCTTAGATTCATGTGTCTTGATGAATGTTATCTCGTGAATCTCTTCTACAATCTGAGGTCCCCACAGGGCCACCTACGCCCTGCCAGATGAAGATATGGCTCGATCCTCAGATGACTCGGCAACCTCACTACACTGAGCCAAAAACACAACAGGGAAAGGACCATGTTCCAATCTAACCAAGGCAACTTTTTGTTTGTTGCTTATTTTTGTTCTGCCTTACTGAACCAATATTATAGAAAACTAAGACCTGAGAGTGACAGAACAAAAGAAAGCACATGGACACGCTCAGAGGTAAACACCAGGGAGAAACGCTGAAGTGGTCTGTCCCGTTCTGTCTGACGGTAACATCCAGCGTCAGGTTTTTATCATCTTGACATTCTTTGTCAGTTTCCTGCCTGTGTGACTTGGAGCTTCACCCTGATTCTCACTTCCTCGACTCATCTGACTCATGTGTGTATTGGTGAAAGCCCAAGGTGGTAATTCACAGTTGCTTCCCTATTCATACATAAACACTTCCCAAATGAAGGTAACAATATCAATATTTCCAAACTAATTTCCTTATTATCTGAGGTGTTTTAGTTTCTTCAGGCCTTTAGGTATCTCAGCACCATTTTAGCCACTTCTCATCTGCCCTCGGTTTATTTCACCTGCCACATTCTTCCTGTGTTGGGGGCCTGCTGACTCCCCTCCTGTCCATAAGCCTTGGCTTCCGTTTCTCACTGCGTCCACTAGAAAATATATCCGTCTAGTCCCCTAAATGTCAAGCACCCAACTACCCTCAAAAAGCCAGCCCTTCCAATCTACAGTAGCCCTCCTGTTTAAATAATGGCTTTGCCACCTACATGCACTCCATCTGTTCCCCTAACGTCTCCAACACAGGAACCCCATGAACTCCTTCAATGCCTACAGTTTCATCATTTATCACTCTGTTATAAACATGAAAAAAACCCGAGGAAATTCCCATATAGACCTCAAATTTCTAACATATTCTCTATTTCATTCACAAACCTTCCTCAGAAAGTCTCACAAAAATCCAAGGGGGGATTTCTTCATCTCTTCTGTAAAGAGCAGTAACAAGTGACAAAATAGAGAACTCTCTTATTAATTTTGGAGATTCTTAGTAAGTTTTTAAAATAGCTTAAGTTCTGAAACAGAGATCAGAATGTCATCATTATATATAATGTGTAAGAATGTATTTACACACACACACACACACACACACACACACACACACACACACACACACACACACCACATGAGAAGATAAACGCATCCTGACAATAACTCCACTCATAGCAACTGTAGAATATTTTACTCATGAGAGCTGGTGTCCATCAGCATTTGATTGGAACTGGCTGTGATCCTTTCCCTCCCAGCTTCTCAGAATCCCTAATAATGTTTTAGCTTTGGCTGTATAGCTTTTGTATTAATTCTTAATTTCATGATGACTTTACCCTGTTTATATGCAGTAATCCTGAAACAAAACTAGGGACCGCTAGATATAAACTGTGGAAGAAGTTGAAATAAGAAATAACATGTCTATAATCTAGCCTGGAAAGTTAGCTTTCTAGAAGAAAATAAACCAGACAAACATACTTCAGAGGGAACAGGTCTACCTCTTATGTTAAAGAAGCATCATCTTTCAGGGAGTTTTTCTCGAATGCAAAAGCTTGGACATAAGATTACAAAAGCCTATCTGTCTCTACAGTCTGTCCATCTTCTCTCTCCGTCTCTGTCTCTCACTCACTAAAATGATATGGGAACAGTTAAAAGCAGCAAGATAGTGCCATAAATCAAATTCTGCAAAGCCACAGCGGGAAGACAGGACTGTCTTTTTCCCAGTCCCAGCATCCAGCTGCTTTGAATTAATATCCACTTCTGAATCTCAGGCCTAGGAATATGCCATTGTTCCAACCAAGTTTTACTGCGGAAAATTTATCTTTGTTTAGTAAGCAGTTATGTTTATTTTACAATGGAATTTAAGAGCCTTTCTCCAAAACTAGCATTGAGTCAGTTACTCATTACTACAAATATACTTTAAAAAATATTTTTAGGGCTGGCCCGTGGCTCACTCGGGAGAGTGTGGTGCTGATGACACCAAGGCCACGGGTTCGGATCCTATATAGGGATGGCAGGTTAGCTCGCTTGGGAGAGCGTGGTGCTGACAACACCAAGTCAAGGGTTAAGATCCCCTTACCGGTCATCTTTAAGAAAAAAAAAAAAATTTTTTTTAAAGAATTTTCAAAAACTTATCTGGAATAAACGTTATGAAACTAAATATTTTAGAAAATGTATCTCCTAATATCTAAGGCTAAATGAAGATTATGAGCATCATGATTTCTCATTTCTTTTTAGGTCAGTCCAAAAATAGCAACTATTATCTCAAAGAGGTACATACAGCATTCCCATTTTAAACCACAGTTATTTCTTTAAATTAAATTAAATTTCCCATTCTAAGAATAAAAGACACTGCATTTTATAGCAATATTACTGTGGGGGCAGAAAGAGGAACAGAAAGTTGTTTTGTTTTGTTTTATTTTAAATGGGTCAGAGTTACAGAATTTAGAGATAATATTCTAAAAAGTCCAGAATGACTACAGTGCCTGAGGTGGTACATCACAGACCTCTTCGAATAAAATCTAGACCACTTTTGTTGTAAATCAGAAAGACAGGCTTTAAATTTCAGGATTTCTCTGACGAGCCCTTGGGAATCTCCCCAAATAAATCCAAATAGGCCTAAGTACGCACTGCTTACGCCTGACTTCACTTCTTGGTAATTCTTAACCTGGTCCATTCTCAGTGTCCTTATGGAAGTAAAGCTGTACTGCCTAAAAGGTCAGAGTTGCAGTTTCTAAATAAAGAAAACAATATTTTAAAAACTGAACTGCAGCCCAATACTTTAAAATCCTGATGGGTTTAAAGACAAAAATACTGTAATCCATTTAGTTGGCTCAATGTAGATTATTAACATGGCCAAATACGTAGCTATTTCCTGTTTAATTCAGCCTGCTGGCTGAGTCTTGATTGTCATAAGCAGAGAATACGCGCTCACTTTCAGAGAGGGAGCTCGGTAGATTTGCTTACCAAGTTGTACCATAGCATCTTTTTTCAAGGCTGCCTATGGCTTTTGACTTTTTAACAAAATAAACAAATATAAATTGGTCCCATTTATATAGTGACTGAATAAATAGATAATGAGATTTCTTAATTTTTTGAACATGGCCTCAGACCTCTCAGAATTTTATACACTGCTATTCCTTGAATGAAAAAACTAGTTAATGCAGCAGTGCTCAGAGCTTTTGGAAAGTCATTTTTCCTTTGTTAAAAGGATATAACAAATTATAAAAGTCCATCTTTTATTACCCAAAGTTTGGGGAGAACAATGAGGAATATTCTACCGTTATCAATGGTAGCCCAAACAACAGTGAATGTTCTCTGGAGCAATTGCACGTTCAGTATTTTATTTCATCATTGTCATAAGAAAGCTGTATTTGAGGCTGGATGGAAACGAGGGCTCAATCTAGATTTTATTCCCATTCCTCTAAGAATGTGCTATTTTGCAGCACATATAGGATGCCTGTAACTACTACCCAATAATCAGCAACTCACAGCAGCTCCGCTCAGCTGGCAGGTGGCCTGAAGCCCTCACAGGGCTGGAGGCACAGCAGGAACCCAGCAGGGCACTTGGCCACTTGGCTCTTGACTCTCAGCCCTCCTCAAACTACCTGAGCCACTGACATACTACTGTAGGTAAAATCAAGCTTATAATGTAACAACCTGGGTTATCTGACCACCTTTCTCCATCTTTAGTTCTTTTTTGTCCTGATTACAAAAACCTGTTTGCTGTAAATAATTCAAATTTACAGTTGTATGGTTTAAAAAGTAAAAGCTCCTGCACACTGCACCTCCTGGTAATCACAAGATCATCCTGATGTTTGGATGTGTCCAGACAAATGAGCAGCAGCACAAATATTTTCATAGCACACA